AATCATACACCTTGTTTCGAAACGATCTTCTTGATTAACTTTTAGTTGATAGCCATCCACACATTTCGTATACAAAGCATCTTCAAGTCTTCCTTTGTATCAAAACAATCATCTTTATTGATACGAATAATTTTGTGTAACAATCAACTGCTATCTTTACCAACTCTTCTTCCGGTATCTGAAGTAATTCTGGCATATTCCAGTTATCCCCGTGGCATTTTCTTCGGGGACTTTGGGACTTCTTCTTCTTCTTCTTCTTCATATGAATTACAAAATGGATGCAACATGTTCATTTACAGTCGTAACTTCCCCCATCATCAACAACATCCCTCGACAACGGCTGTTTCATCATCAAAATTTGGGTATTGACCAATATCAAAATCATTACACGCAGGGTCTGTTTCTTCTTCTGAAAAATCATCAAAATCCAAGTATTGACCAAGATCAAAGTCCGGGTATTGACCAAGATCAAATTTCGAATACTGACTAGTACTCACAAATTTTTTTGTTGCTCCATCATCGAACTGGTCAATACGAAAACCGAAATTTGGTGCTGAAAGTTGATTGGGATTTGGATTAGGGAAAGGTTGTGGGGTTTGAGATTGTGTATTGGATATGTGGTGAAACAATATTTGCTTGGTGAAATTGTGGTGGAACCATTAAATTTTGAGCACCATAAACTGGGGTTGAAAAACTTAGTTGATTATTACCCGCTACTGACCCAACTTCACTACTTCTATGTTCAACAACATACAATGTAACATCATCACTTGAAACACTAATGTAAGCGATGAATCGTTCAACATCTTCATTTTCGGTTAACAAATAAAATTTACCATTTCTCTGATAAGATAGCCTAAATCCACTTAGGGGCTCTAAATTCAATTTATTTGCAACACGAACATTGGAGTTTCATAAGTTAACTTTTTTAATGACAGTTTTTGAAGATTCATGGGTAAAGACATATATTGTAAAACACCATGAACATTCTCCCATGACCCTCCAAAACACAAATATATCCAAACATGATCAACATTAGATGATTTCATTATTGTAAATTAATTTACTAAACAAACGAGCTGCGAAACTAAAACATGTTGCCGGATGGGGAAGGATGTCGTTGGATATAGGAACGGATGTCGCCAGAGAGAGTGATACATGGAGATGGAATGAGTTGCGATTTAGGGATTTAGGTTATGAGTTGCTGCTTCTGCGTAGTTATATACCCAAAACATTTGTGTTGCGAAATTAAAACCTGTTACGAATTCAGAAATCGAGTTACGAATTTGAAATTCAGTATTGCGATAGTCAGAATCTCGTTGCGATTACGTAAATCGCAATGCGATTTTCCTAATTCGCATTGCGATTTACGTAATCGCATTGCGATTTACGTAATCGCATTGCGATTTACGTATTCGCATTGCGATTTAGGAAATTCGCAACGCGAATTTGGGAAATCGCAATGCGATAGTCAGAATCGCGTTGCGAATCTGGAAACTGATTTGCGATACCGGAGATCGCGTTGCGAATTATCGATCACATTGCGATTTAGTTGGTCATTTTGGCAAATCCAAAAAAAGTTGGTTAAAATCGTATATTATAAGGCATTTTTGGTCACTGAGGTTATTTTCTCAATTTATAATCGTCCAAAATTTAATGGGTATTTAGTGAGCGGGAGGATGTGGGGCGGGCAGATGCGGGGGCGGGCAGATACGGGGGCGGGCGGATGTGGGGCGGGTAAGGTCTCAAACCCATCACTCGCCCACTACCCGCGACGGATACCACTTTCTAAATCTACACCTGTTCACTACCCACTAAAGTTATACCCATTCTCGCTCCAATTGAAACGAGTACGGTGCGGAATCACGGAACTGTACCCGTTTGCTATCCCTATAGTACTCAAGTTCGGCTTCAATTCAATTCAATCCGGCTGTGCTCCCATGTTGCGGATGTCGTGCTTTTTGCGTTTTATGCCTTCTTGGTGTTCTTTATGCAGAGGCCTTTAGTAATTTTTCTTAGGTTCCCTGGCGACGTACCCTTCCTCCTTAGGATTTCTTCTTGTTTTCCTTAATAACAAATTATAGTTACAAATATATATTATTCTTAGCGGTAAAATATAATCAAATATTAAAAAAAATTATATATAATAATGATTGTTCGTTAATAAATTAACATTATAACAAGTGATCTATCTTCAAGAGTTGCGAGACATGAATAAATCATCAAAATAACCAAATAAAAGTCATTTGTATCTAAAGAGTCGAATCAAATCTCACCCTCAAAAATAAAATAAAAGATGTGTTATAAGAGTAGTCTAAGAACGTATTACAACTAAAATTATCATTGTTTTTATACAAAAACGAAAGAGTAATTAAAAGAACATTACTCGAACAATAAGGAAGGAGAGAAAGAGAAAAATAGTGATTAGTGACTAGTCAAAATTAGTACATTATTAATATTAAAATTAGCACCATCATCGATACTAAAAAGTATAGAAGAACATAAAATGAATGACACAAGAACTTTTGACATGATTTATTCCAAGATATTTATCTTCCCATAGTATTTTTTCACATAAATATTAATACTAAAAATTTATCATAACAATTTTATGTAATATTTTTCTAACAAATTTATATTTATTTTTTATGACAGCAAATAAAATGTTACTGTCTTAGGTGAAATGATTATAAAATATTATTTATTAATAATTTTTTTATTTATCGATAACGCACCCATATTTTATAAACATAATTGTTCGAACTTAAAATTTATAAAAAGAATAATATTATCTTTTACCACTAAAGTTTCTTAATAGATTAATTATAACATTAAACTTGCCTTACTACAATATAATTAATTATAGTAAATAATATATTAATTGATAAAGAACATTAAAGAATCCAATCATTGTCCAATTCCATATGATATGAAAATTTGAATATATTTTTTATTAAAGTAGTATTTGTTCTAGATACTCTTAACCATTTGACAATGAACGTAATGAACGTTTAATCACATTGTTACAGTTGTTGATACTCGAACTTGTGACCTGTAAGAACAACAACATTTCCTTTAATTACTAAGATAAAGAATCCGTTTGAGCTACACTTACAATCGTAAGGAATTGGAATGTTTCCAATTTTATGAAATTAGTCGGAGTTAAGTATGCCGCTAATTTTATTAGAAATATGAAATATTCAAAGTTATAATGATTGTTTATGACTTTAAACGTAAATTAACTATATAATTAGAAAATTTCATATAACCATTAACATAAAACTAGTCACTTAAGATCACACACGATCATATAAGGAAAAGTTAAAAACCTAACAAAAACTCGAAGAAAAGATAGATATGAATAGATATGATTGCATCGACAAATAAATCATAAAAGGGGATAAATATACTAAAAGATTACTAACAAACCACAAATAAGAATCAATCAAAGTGAAAAAATAATTCACGAACGCACATCACATATCCAAATCTAATTCGATGATCCAAAGTAGGAAAAATCAGCACGATAACAAATAAATGTCATCTTGATTAGTTATGGTGATATCAAATCTAATCTTAAGAAAAAAAATAAACTAAAATAATGTCCAAACACTGAAAATGTGCGTGGAACTGTGGGGTGCTGCTTGAATATCCATATGTGACTTAAATTTTAAACGAAATTAATTTGAGATTTGTGATAAATTATATTTAATTTCAAATCATTTTATATAAAATAATATTTAATATAATAGAATTAATAATTTAATTTGTTAAAAATATAAATAAATTGATACTAATTAAATGGGTAGGGATCCATTACAACAAGTGTGAAATTTTAATTTATATCATTTTAAGATCGATGATTGAGTAAAATTAGACGATTGAAATTATTTTATTATTTTTCTAATGAATGTTTTCTTATTTATTACTATTAATCTCAACGTCAATTTTGACTCATCCAATAATCTTAAAAAAATATAAAACTAAAACGATTTTTGTGAACGAACATTACCTCAAATTAAATTACCTAAAATACAAAGGTATGATAGTAAAATTAGTACATAATATTTGACAATGTAGTTATTTTGGTACTTTTTTAAATACTTTATCCTCAACGTTCTATTTTAAGATAAAATACCACCTAGTTAGATGAAAAACATTAATTAACTGACGATCAACGATTCAATGCCTCATGATGACTAGACAATACCATATGAATTGAAATACTGACATGACATATCTACATATGATGGCTAATGGCCTGATTGAAAAAAATAAATAGTTATGTGGCGTGATTGACAAAATTGAAAGATCAATGACAAAAGTAAAAAGACTAAGTTAAGTAGTCAACTGAGTAGTTTACCCTTGATAAAAATATTAAAACAATGAATATAATTAAAGTTAAAGACTATAAATTAGGAACATATTCTTCATCAACACAAACATGTCACAATATTTGACACGTGAAAAAATTAATGAGAATATTTTTTTATAGGATAATCTAAGCATTTAGTATCTAAATTATCAGTTTTGATCTGTTTTATTGCCTAAACTTTTAAATTTTTTCCAAATCATACTTAAAGTTCAGTTTTTATTTCATTTTAGTACCCATAAAAAATTTATGTCAAGTTTTGAAAAAGAGTGAAAGTTTAGGTATTAAAACGGATTAAAACTAATAGTTTAGGTAATAAACACGTTAAGTTTTTAACAGCGGGCACTAAATAAAACAAAAACTAAACGTTATGTATGATTTTGAATTTGTTTTTGAAAGTTTAAGTACTAAAACAGACAAAAACTGATAGTTTAAATACTAAATAGTTTATCCTTTTTTTTTTCTAATATCCATCATGTCTTGTGGATAATTCAAATTATTGGTACTCCTTATATTAACAGGAATCAACTCAACTAGAAAATTTATCAACACAATGTTCACCTAAATTTCCACCAGGTAGATGAATGTCCTCTAACTACAGCCAGATTCACAATCTCTGATTAAGAGGGATGCATAAATTCAACATTCATCTTCAAAGGAAATCCACATCACTTCCTTCCCCTATTAAGCCTCTGCAGGTGGTAATTGATGCTGCCCCAGGGCTTCCTATTCGTGCTAGACTATAAGAAAAGTAAACATAAAGGTTTATGTAAGTCATTGCATATTATATTTTAGAGACAAAGAATAAGCATTCCAGAGGCAACCATGAATTTCATAGTTATAAAAGTGAAACCAGAGTTACAAACCTGAGCATCCATACATGCATTCAAAAGATCCTTATGCCTAATACATTTTTCTTCATTCACCTTGTTAAGTGCCAAGCAATTTAGGAATGATACAATTTCTTTTTGTTAAGTAATCAGTAAATATGAGTATCGAGAAATATTATTGTTTGCACACTTTGTTCATAGCTCATACATCATTATATAACAAGAAATCAACCATAAATGCCTAACCACTCAGCTATAACAACTAATAACCTTAGTAACCGACTACAACTGCTTATACACATCGATATTATAATTGCTCATACACATCAGCAGCTTTACACATCAGCTACACTCAATATTCTCCCTACTTTTACCTTCTCCCCCAATAAATGATTGAACATGGACCTTTTCTCTAAACATTTCAAACAACGCTGTAGACAATGGCTTGGTCAGGCCATCTGCAACTTGGTGACTGGCAGGAACATAGTTGACCAAGACCTGTTGAACAACAACTTTATCCCTAATGAAATGAACATCAAGTTCAACATGCTTTGTCTTAGCATGATAAATCGGATTTGCAGTAATAGCCATTGCACTATTATTATCACACCATACTACCGGTGTTTTAGATTGAACAATTCCCATATATGAAAGTAAGGCACTTATCCATGTTGTTTCAACAGTGACATCAGCTACACTTCTATACTCAGCCTCCATAGTAGACCTAGAAACAAACTTCTATTTCTTAGAGCTTGACATGACCAAATTTTCTCTAACAAAAACACAGTTGCCTGTGATAGACTTCCAATCTTTTTATTTCCAGCCCAATTAGCATCAGCAAAGGCCACAACATACAGTCCTACCACAGACGGTGTTATAACCAGGCCATGATTAAGCGTGCCAACCAAATATCTCAAAATGCGTTTGATTTCCACCAAATGATCTCGTCTAGGTGCATGCATATATTATGCCACCTTGTTAACACTGAATGAAATATCAGGACGAGTGTGACAGACGCACAGAAGCGCTCCTACTATACTGTGATAGTCATATGAATCAGCCAACAAGTCTCCATCATCATCTTGTGTAAGCTTCGATGTAACCAGCATAGGTGTAGAAGCAGTTCCTACATTGTTCATCTTAGTCTTCATCAGCAGCTCCATGATAAATTTTTGCTGACTGAGGATCAATGTTTCACCAGCTCGAAGAATTTCGATACCAAGAAAGAAACTAAGCTCTCTAAGGTCTTTCAATGCAAACTCTGCTCCCAACAACTTCACAATTTCTTCAACCTGCATGTCTGACTCGCTTGTAATTATTATATCATCCACATAAACTATCATGTACGCTTAACTATTCTGAACACATCTAACAAACAAGGAAGTATCTACATTGGATTCTTTAAACCCAATATTAAGTAAGCATTGCTTTAACTTGTTATGCCAACTCCGAGGTGTTGTCTTAAGCCATACAAAGTTTTTTGAAGCTTGCACACTAACAAGGTACCATCAGGAGCCCCTTGTTCAAATCCAGGTGGTTGTTGCATATATACATCTTCTCTCAAGTCTCCATGTAAAAAAACATTGTTTACATCAATCTGAGGTAGCTGCCAACACTTTGTCACCGCTAAAGTCAAAACCACATTCACCGTGGTAAATTTAACTACTGTACTGATTGTCTCAGTAAAGTCGTGACCTGGAATCTAGGAATACCCTTTGGCTACAAGATGAGTCTTATATCGCTTGATAGACCCACCAGGGTTTTTCTTTAGCTTAAACAACCACTTACATCATACTACTGATCGTTCTTCAAGCAAAGGCACGAGAGACTAGGTATCATTCTTTTGCAGGGCTTCAAGTTTAACTTATACAACATTTCTCCAATGTGGTGACTAAAGAGCTTCATGCACATTAACAGGTCCCATAGTAGCATAGGAAACCGAATACACTTTAGGTTTGAAGATCCCACACTTGTTTTTGGTAAGCATAGGATGAAGATTCATCACGGGCACCACATCACCTTGTTCACTAGGCTCCAAATCATTTTGTCCACTAGAGTCTCCATTAACTTGTCCACCGAGCTCTTCATTATTTTGTCCATTGGGATCACTTGTGTTCATTTATGCCTTACAATTTTCCACAACAACATCACTATTAACAGTAGTATTACTTACCACATCCAAAGACGAGCTCGAGCATTCACCTGCATTGAGGGACTCAACTCCTGCTACTTCGGATACATTGTCACATGTCACAATGTTATTTGTAGCATGCAACTTCCCAACATCGACAACAATCTCAATAGCACCAGACTTTGAAGCAAAAGCATTAGATGTTATGCGAGACGTTGTACCACCTACAAACGGAAAAATGACTCATCAAACACAACATGCCGAGATATGTAAACTCTCCCATCAGTGGCTAAACACATATAGCCTTTATGTTGTGGGTTGTATCCTAAGAACGTTAATGGCTGAGACCTAAACTTTAACTTATGTCTTTGAAAAACTCGTAGATGTGGGAAACATTTACAGCCAAACACCCTCATGAACTTATAATCAACTTTCTTTCCCCATAGCTTCTATAGTGGAGATACCCCATCCAGTACATTTGTTGGAAGACGGTTAATGAGATAAACTACAGTAACAACAACATAATACCAATATTGTAAAGACATAGCAGCTTGAGCTAAGAGAACCAATGCAAGCTCCACAATGTGCCTGTGTTTCCTCTCAACCACTCCATTATGCTCATACGTATGTGGACAAGCAACTCGGTGAGATATACCATCCTTAGCTAAAATATATGAGAGACTCCGATACTCACCACCCCAGTCACTCTGCACAGCTTTGATGGCAACACCAAATTTAGTCAACACCATTTGCTGAAACAACTTGAAGACACTTACAACTTGTGATTGATCATTCAAAAATACACCCACGAGTGTCTAGAGTATGCATCAACAAAGGATAAGTAATATCGATATCCATTAGACACCACATTCGATGATCCCTAGATGTCAGTAAACACAAGTTGGAAAGGTGAACTGTACATTGTAGAATAATTAGGAAAAGACAACTTATGACTTTTGCCAACACAACAAGCTTCACAAAATTTATTCATTGCTTTAGAAACCTTTACATCAATTGTTTTACAAACATTTGCAATAGTACTATAGGTAGCATGACCCAATCTTCGATGCCAAAGTGTAAACTCATCGACTGCAATAACTGAATTAGTTGAAGCATTACCACAAACACCAAACCAACGTTCTCCTGAGAAGACATGCAACCCTCCTTTAACACGACCACACATCAACACTTCTTTTATGGTAACATCACGAACACAACACCCTTGATCATAAAACTCAAAGAACACACCATTGTCCTTAGCAAACTTGGACACCGAGATAAGGTGCTATGTTATGCTAGGCACATGCGGTAAGTTATTTAATAGTAAAGACCTAGATGGTGTCATTAAAGTTCCATCACCAATCATATTAACACGTAGAGACACACCATTACCAACAATTAGCTTACTTGGACCACCATGCTCTGGCCTATGAGTAATGTTACCAGAGTTGGGTGTCACATGATGAGTGGCTCTAGAATCCACCACCCATTGAGAAGAACTCTCTGTAGTCAGCTGGCTTCGAGTCCCATTCAAGCAATAATCGCAACCAGTACAACTAGCTTTGTCATAGGAAACATTGTAAGTATTGGTTGTATCTCCTGTATACTGATAACGACCAACATTAGTGGATACAATATGAAAATCTTCATCAAAGCGATGCCAACACCTGTCAACAAGATGCCCAGGTTTCTCATACAGTTGACATTGCACACGCGATCGACCACGACCTCGACCACCTTGCCCACCAGTCATTCCTCAAGAATACGAGGACTGACGTGATCGATGATTATATGAGTTAGAACTAGTTTTAACAGTATCCGATCCTCGAGCAATATGAGCACTTGCCAGCACTAATTCTTCTTGAGTAGCAAACCCAGCCAACTGAGTCTCAGCATCAATCAAGATTGTGCTTACCTTTTCTAAATAAATAGAATCACCACTGGTAGTTATAACTGCCATGAAGGGTTGGTACTCTCGAGGCAATCCTTTTAATATGCTTGCAATATGACAAATTGTGGGAACATCACTACCACATGATGCTAAGGCATCACATGTTTCTTTAACCCGAGACAGGTACACATGCATGTTATCTTCACCTTTCTTGAGAGACTGTAGTTTATAGTGAAGATTCATAACGGTTGTAGATGATCTCGTGGCAAAGATTTGTAGTACCGTATTCCAAACTGCAGATATAGTCTCTGCTCCAACAAACTGAGAGAGTAAATGCTGGCTTATAGTCGACAACAACCATGATGCTAACGCACTATCCTGAGCTATAAAGTCTTCATAACCTTCATTTGGAACTACTGTCCCATCCTCAGTTGTTAGACACTCCGGTGGAGGTTTCATCGCACCAGTGAGTGGTCGTTCAAGCCGGTGACTCCTCACTGTAAGAAGCACTTGATGTTTCCAAAGCAAGAAATTTGCTTCATCAAGCACAACATTAATCTTCTTATTTGTAAACATCCTGATTTGACTCGAAAGGGAAAGAGTATCACTAGCAGCCATGGAACTTGAATCTAACAACCTTAGCAATTATTCTTGCAACATAAGCAAACCCTCTAGGACTTATGGCGATAGATACCATGTTAAGTAATCAGTAAATAAAACTATCGAGAAATATTATTGCTTGCACACTTTGTTCATAGCTCATACATCATTATATAACAAGCAATCAACCATAACTGTCTAACCACTCAGCTATAACAACTAACAACCTTAGTAACCAACTACAACTGCTTACACACATCAGTATTATAACTGCTCATACACATCAGCTACACTCAACACTTTCATGCAAGGTTTTGCAAGAGAGCCGAATTTCTTTGGATTTATATAAAGCGCATTGGCTTTGCGGCCCATCCTTTATGATGTAGGCTACATTAAGAGAACAAAAGAAATACGAAGTTACACTCTCTAATTCAATTCTACGTCATGTAAAAACTGGTTAAAAGGGAAGTGGCAAAAGAAGCTATAACACTGCTAAAACATACAATCGTTAAACATATCAAGTTTGCCAGGTCTAATTAGTAACAATCCACATCACTTTTAGCGCATATATATATATATATAATTTAAGATAATTATAAAATAATATTTATTTATAATTCTTTATAAGTGATACCGCACACACCTTGAGGACATATTTAAGATGGAAAATATAATGAAATTGTGAAAGTGAAGGCAAACTTTGGGCGGAATCGCGTGATGACAATGACGTTTCTTGTTGTTTAGGTAAAACCTCACAACTCTCTCAGCCTATCACTTTTTTTTTTTGGAATTGTTCCACCATTTTTAATGTCTATTAAATGCCTCCTTTCTAAACACAAAACAAACAAAGCCATTGATTTTTCTAAAACAAATACTATTTTTTCTACCACTCTGTTGCTGACAAAAACAGGCTAATTTTTCTACGAAAAGGAGGAAACTTTCAACTGTTTTGAATCCGAACAAAGGGGGTCAGCTGTAAACAATTTCCCACATTATTACCACTTCAAAACATGTCTTACCACCGTAATTACCTTTATAAATATAAAAGTAAAAAACCCAAATGATGAATTGTATACACGTGAAGGAATGCTAGTTCAAAGTGAGGCTAAAAGGGACATGGAGTGGAGGATGGGGAAAAACCAGATTGTCTCCTCCGTTTCTTACTTTGCATAACAAGATGTTCAGGATTGTTCATGGACCATGATTATCTACCATTTTTGCCCTTTCTGAAAACGTTTTAAACTAATACTACAATGGTAGATGAAAAGAATAAATTAAAGGGGAAAAAAAGAAAGAAACTCTGCTAGCAGAAAACAAGACAAGATTCAGGAATCTAACGCATAGTGTCTGTCTTGTCCAGTGTTCTGAATGTTGTCGTAGAAGAAGGAAACGGCAGTATCTGAGAAGGACTCGAAGGGTACTGCGGCAAACATTGGACAGGTTCCAAGTTCTTATCAACAATGAATTTCAAGAAAGACCCTTGTATATTCTCACCTTGAAGAGGACCTCCATTTTCATGCACCTTTTTCTCAGCTTCAACCATCAATCTTCTCAAAAGTTTCTCTTCTGCATCTCTTAAGAACTTGAGCTTTGGAGGAGGCGGAGATCTAGTCTTGTTTAGCTCGGCGTCTGTTGATGATTCGAAGAGAGGGTTGAATCCTTGGCGGTGATAAGAATCTAAAGGGTTCATAGGTGGAGGAGAAGCCATTGGAGTGTACATAGTCAAAATACGATCACTCAAGCTCCTTGTTCTTGACTGACCATCTTCTGAGTCAAGATCTTCCTTTGTTTCCTCTTGGATTGTGAAGAGGAATCTGGGTGGACCGGCCAGATTGTGAAGTCTCATGAGCTCTGATTCAATACCCTCTTCGCCATAGCCCTTTAGCACAAAATCCTTGCTTGAACCGAGTTCCAAATTTGACTCAACAACGCCATTGATGGCTTGGTCTTTGACTAAATCTCGAATGTTGTTGTTGTTGTTGATATTGGTGGATGCATGCAAAGAATCAGATTTCTTCCAGCAGAAGAAATGAACCAGCTCCTTTTCATATTTGGTGTAATTTTCTTCAACTTGTGAGCTACTTCCAATTAATCTCTTCTTCCACCAAAGCAAATAGTAAAGCTCAGCAACAAGAGCTAATAAAAGACAACCAAAAACCAAGCTTAAACCAATCCCTAACCCACTGAAAGATGTCATCTTTCGCTTGAAATTCACATCTCCCGGGTATATAAAATCTTGGGTTTTGCTTGAAATTCAGTACCAAATGTGAAAGAAAAGGACCTTCAAATCAAAAATCCCGTTTCTCTAAAGTAAACAACGATGAAATGAAAGAACCCATGGATAAGCTTCACTTTTACCGCAATTCAGAAGCTAAGATTCCTTGTGGTGAAGAATGAAGGGGAGGCAATGTATAAATTTGCCTAAAACACAAGCCACAAGGAATCTATGGAAAAAGCTTTACTCCAGAAGAAGACTCACCTTATAAGTCCAAAATTCCAAAGCTACAAAGGAACACCACACAAGTTGTGTAGGCTTACTGCCAATGGAAACAAAAAAACTTGGATTCGAATAAGAAAATGAAAGCGAAGTCATATCTTTGTGGAAATTGAACACCCAAGGCAGATTAAATTGTCAAAACAACGAATTTTGAATAATGAGCAAAGAAAAGTAAAATATATGATTGGGGAATGGGCAAATCTGTGTTGTGGTAGGATCTATAAAAATTCGACTCGATTCAAAAAAATTTAAAGTTTAAATCGAATTGTAAAATATAATTCGAATAACTTAAAATATAACTCGAGTTGTAAAAATTTAAAAGTTTGAGAGTTTTAGATATCATTAAATCAAATTTTTATTGTTAGAATGACTTGAATAAGTTAAGTTAAAAATCTAGATTTCGTATTTTTTCTATTTTTCAAATTTTCAAAACAATTTTAATTAAAATATTGAAAACATCTTTTTTATGTTTTCATATTTTCACTTATTTTTATTTTCTAGAAATTATTTTTTAATTTTATCACCAAACATATTTTCTTCAATATTTTATATTTTCTAAGAAAATAAAAATAGCACATATTTTCTTGAACAAAATGGACCCTAATATTTTTAAGGGTAAAGTATACAGATGTTTCTCAAATATAGGATATTTTTTTGAGTCTTTGTCGAATCTCCGACTATTAAAAGTTAAAAAAAATATCATTTGACTATATGGTGTTGTTTTGTTGAGTCAATGATTATAAAAAGTTATAAAATGGTTATCCCATTGTTCATATATTCCAAACGCGTCTTTTTTTGTTAAAAAAAGACAACAATCTGAGTTGAATGTTAACATGATGAGTGAGATATGATAAAATTTGATCCCATAATCTCAAATGATTATCATATCTCAATCAACATGTTAATGTTTCACTCAGACAACCATCAAATTTTTTAATAGAAAAAAATGAGTTTGGACTATATAAATAGTTGTGTGACCATTTTGTAACTTTTAATAGTCGAGATACTCAACAAAAGCAACACTCTATAGTCGAAAGATCATTTTATAATTTTTAATAGTCTGGATACTCAACAAAACAACATCCTATATTCGAAGGACGTTTGTATATTTTTTACTATTTTAATGAATTATACTTGGACTGATATTACCTATAGAGTGAGTAGACTAAATAGATCTATTCATAACCCTAGTAGTGAACATTGCAATGTACTAACACACTTACTTAAGTATCTTAAAAGTATAACTGATTGAAAATTATAATTTGTTGGTTATCTTGTAGTCTTTGAAGGATATTGTGATACAAAATAGATAAATGATAATGGTGAAGTAAGCTCTAAAAGTAAGTATGTCTTTACTTTAAGAGTAACTATTTTGTGAAAGTATAGAAAGTAAACACATATTGCTCGTTATGATATAAAGTCAAAGTTTAGTGTTCTCAATCTAGCTGGGTATTTGAATGGCTCATAAAATTGATGAATTTTTTAATGAGAAAATCAATCCCTCTAATTTTCTTATTATGTGATTCATAAAGAGTAATTTGTGTAACCTACAACTAAGTGTTCAATAATAAGAAAAGACACATCCATTAAAGATATGAGTCTCTGAGACACTTGTATACTCAAACTTGAGCTTATATCACATCCATTTTACATTATTAATTTAAATGTGGTATTATTGTACAGACCAAACAACCTTGATAGTAAATGAATTATTGTTGTTTCTTGATGTCTCAGGTTCGAGCACCATGGATATCAGTAGTGCGAGCATTCAATGTCAAATAATTGAGAATTGTCTTTGAACATATATTGCCATATATTTGCCGAAATTAATAATAATAAAAAGTTTGATATTATTCTATTAATCTAAATTTAATTTGAAATTTAATTTAAATATACAATTTAATAAAATTTATTTACATAATTTATTTACTCAAACTTGAGCTCATGTCACATACAACTTTTGTGGGTAATGCAATAATTTAATGTAAAAATATTTTTAAAAAATTATAAATAAAATGATTAAATTTATTAGTTGTTCATCTTGTATATTCAAATACATAAGCTTGACTCACTCAATACAATATAGTTTGAGAATAATCAAATAAAATTTAATTTTTTTTATTAAACTCAAATAATTTATGAGTACATAAATTTGATTTACACTACTTATAATTAGAGCTATCCATGGTTTGGTTGGACTCCAAAAAAAATATCATGCTTAAATCCAAAATCGACCTAATGTAACCCAAAATCTATATTCACCATTAATAAATTTCGAACATCTTATATCTAAAACTAAATAAAATTATTTATTATTTAATTTAAAAATGAGCCGGGCCAACATAAAATAAAAACTATCTTATCCGAACCTGACCGAAGTCCAGTACGGATGGATGGTACCACCCGTGAGTCGTTTAAGATTTAAGACCCACTTGAAGTCGTATTGAAGTCGGCCGCGATTGGTGCAGAAGTGAAATTATAAGCATTGGCCCATATGCCTCGGAGATTTGAGTGCATAAGGGACCATTGAAAACTGTTAGGTTTAATCATATACGTAAGCTCTAAATAAGACAGATTGGTTGAGCATCAAAATTTTACTCTTTATGGGAAGAATACGGCGATTGTGCTGGCCGGTACACCGAATAATGTGGCATTTAGAAGACTGTCCTTGAAATGGTATTGATTTTAAAAGGCACTGATGGTCTCTAAATTTAGATTCTTCTATTGAAGTAAGTTATAACGGGTAATAGTAATGATACCTTATACCCTTTGAATTTGGTAAAGTGACAGATGGTGTTTACTTTCTTCCATTAATCCATTGTTGTTAACGATAGTTGCCGAAGCGACAATGATGATGTATTTGCTAGTTTATAAAAACGACGGTTGGTGTTTGTGGGCCTAACATGGTTCAAAGCGACCCAAAACATATCTCTACCGTTTATTGGGCTGAACGGATAAAACATTTTTGGACTGAATTAGGATTCATATACACTTTTGACTTTGAATAAAAAATAAAATACACTTTTCTATGAGGCCACCAAGTTGATTTGGAGATGACACGAAGAATCGTGGAGTTATATTGCGGCATGAGCCAAGAAAAGCAGTTCTCAAGGAAGAATCACATTAAGGTGAGGCAGTGGGAAACATCCAAGGTGAGGGAGCCCAGGATTGTTCGAGTGGAGAGACGAGGGCATTGTTAAGTTTGGTGGCGAGAATGTTACGGGTCGCGGAATAAGACTCGGGACATTAGCTCAATAGTATGCCAAAAGGGTTTATTTTTGAGTATCGGGCTTTCCATGACTCTTAGACTTGACCCATCACTTGGAGAATATTAGAGAGCTCGTTCACAATACACATATAAATATAAAAAGTAATATCATATCAGAAGATGATCACATGAGCATGGAAGATATGACGAGAGATAACAAATCAAAAAAAATTATGGATGATTCTTATTATATTCAGTGTGAACATTCATCAAAGGAAAGAAAAAGAATAATTAATGTAATTAGTTGGGGGAGGAATTGACTTTCCTTAAGAGATTTGTAATTTATTGAGTTTATCATAATAGTTGATATAAATAGATATAGACCATTAATTATGAGTAAACTCGACTATTAATAAAGAGTCACAATAGAGTCGGATGCTAAGATTGGAAACCACCTAGGGACGGTGGAATTAAAATTAATTCCGATGGTCTAAGGATCTAATGGGCTTTGAATTTATTTCAGAAAACGTCAAAAAGCACTCCAATTAGAAGCAAATAAAATTCGAAGGCATAGCGATATTTAATGGGCACCATGACGTGGAAAAAACTTATTGGCTGTATAATCCACCGTCAGGAATGCGCGCCCAGTGGTCATTTCATTGTAACGAACCATAAAGTTAAGGATAATGCAAAAAAAAAAAAAAAAAAAACAAAAAAATACACTCTCGGCCAATCCATAACCTCGTCTCTGTTTCTCCCCCACCCATGAATCCCTGAAAAACACCCTATCCTTTTTCTCGTCAAAAAATCTTTCACCAAGCAAAATCCATGGCGAGAACACTAATTTCATCACAGCCGTTCATCTGCACATCACTTCCATCATCAGAAATATTTCGCCGTTGTGGCCTCTGTGTGCTCCCTAAACGTAGACTTGCCTCCACCGGAGTCCGACTAAGCTTCAGCGAAATCCCTCCTATTACTTCACTGAACTCTTCCGTCGATTTCCAAGTACTTTTTACCAAAACCGAGAGCTTCCTATACACTCTTGCCGACGCTGCGGTTGCGGTCGATCCTGCCGCCACCGCCGCAGGGTCTACCGACGCTGCCGCGCAGAAGAATGGTGGTTGGTTTGGCTTCATTGCTGAATCAATGGAATTTGTTCTCAAGGTAAAGCTTCTCTCCCGGGTCCCAATGTAGACGCTTGTTCCACATATCAAGAACTAAGTACCGATTAAAATGTCTTACTAAATATTGTTGATTTATGTTTTTTTTATTCTCTTTCTTTATTATTATTTTTGTTTAGGTTCTGGAAGATGGATTATCGGCATTACACCTGCCTTACGCATATGGATTTGCGATTATATTAATTACGATTATAGTTAAGATTGCTACATTTCCTTTGACAAAGCAGCAGGTTTGCCTTTGGTTCAACTTGTGTAGGAAAAGAAAGTGCTTAAAGTTTAGATTTGGTTTTGATTCTTTCTGACTCGATAGTTAACAGTTGAGGATGGTTTTAGGTGGAATCAACGCTAGCTATGCAAAATCTTCAACCAAAGATAAAAGCTATCCAACAAAGATATGCAGGCAATCAGGTAATACTGAAGTTTGAATTTGATTGCTTTGTTATTGATTGGGAAGGCTCATTTTGGTTTATTTATTTTTTATTTTGCTTCTATTTAGGAGAGAATACAGCTCGAGACATCTCGCTTGTATAGGCAGGCTGGGGTCAATCCGTTGGCAGGTATCCTTTTGATTAATCACTTGAAATTGTATGTTTATTTTCCATTTTTAATTAAATCTAGCCTCTTTTGAAAGCTGGTTTTCTGCATCGTTGGTTTCTTAGTTTATAAAAACTGGTGATGGAGGGATTATGATGTTTGTATGGAAATTGACTTGACTTAAATGTTAGTAGTAATTTATGAAAGAGAGTATGAATTTATGAATCCATGGTTTCTCATGCCATTCTTTCTCTTCAGGACTTTTGACTCTCTTCTTTTTTATGGAGGCCTCAGGTCTTATAGTTGTTAACTTCATGGGACAATGCTCATCACTATCTTAAACCTTTGTCTTTGCAGGTTGTTTCCCTACTTTAGCCACCATTCCAGTCTGGATAGGCCTGTATCAAGCTCTCTCAAATGTGGCAAATGAGGTAATAAATTGGTTGACGTAGCATTCTGATTTCTGAGTGATGTTGGAGAACTCTTTCACATGTTAAATAACGTCCATTATTGATTGCTGCAAATTTTTACTCAAAGGGACTGTTGACAGAAGGTTTCTTTTGGATCCCTTCTCTGGGAGGGCCAACTACAATTGCTGCTCGACAAAGTGGGTCTGGAATTTCTTGGCTTATTCCATTTGTGGTAATAAACTTGCTCCCAAACTTATAAGATTAACACTTCTCCTTGTTGTATTTTGTAGTTTTCAGCATTATGGATTTCATTGCCTATTTGTTTGTATCTTGTACTTTGCTGTGACAGCTCTCTATATCATTTTTATTCTTTTCTGAAAATTCTACAGAAGTGTTAAAGTGACTGGTGGTTGTTGCTTATTTAATTAATATAGCCTCTTTGGTGTTGATTTATTTATTAGCGGTTGAGAGGGGAGACTAATATTTTTGAAGATTCATAGTATTGGTTTTACCTTTGTAATTACCTTCATAGTTTGTAGCATCTTCACCTTTTGTTGTCATGGATGAAAAAATTGTAATTATAAATTTATAATAGCTACTAAATTTGTGTAAAGCTATGGCTTAATCACATTTTACAGCTGAGATTCCATTAAGAATAGCAAATTAGAGTTTCAGATGTAGCTTCTGTTGACCAGGCACAGAAACCATGTTCTGCTGTTGGTTCGTGTATCTTATTTTGTTATCTAACATATGAAGGGCAATGATCATTCAGGATGGCCATCCACCATTGGGTTGGCATGACACTGCTGCATACCTTGTTTTACCCGTGCTTCTTGTTGTCAGTCAATATGTTTCAATGGAGCTGATGAAGCCGCCCCAGGTAAGAACTAAGTAGTGCAAGCTTCATTACTTCAATTTCATTCCTATTTCACATTTAATTTGGTTAGTAGTTTAATTCATTCAAATTTTCTTTTGGACAGACGGATCCAGCCCAAAAGAACACACTTCTTGTTCTCAAGTTTCTTCCATTTATGATTGGCTACTTTTCGTTATCTGTTCCATCAGGATTGTCAATTTACTGGTTGGTCTCTTTTAGCAGTTTTACTGAAACCGATAGACTTAGCAATATGCACTTTGCTTCTAGTTTAGTTTCTGATCATGGTATAAACATACACTGCATGCAGAGGCGTTCTATGGTCATCATTCTGAACCATGGCTGCAACACTTTATACTCGGGTTATCATTAATTTTACTATGTTATATGTGCCAGGAGTAGTGCATCCAAACTTCATTTTCTTGTATTTTTCTGTTGTCAATGATGCCTTTTAAGGTTCGATGTACACATGCAATTGAAATTTGCATATATTAGCATCAATACGTAACTGAATTCGCATACATGAGAACAAATTCTCGCTGCTTTATTGCTTTTTATTCCCACTTTATTTAATTTTGAGCACCCACCTCAATATCTCGGCATGTAACTTCTATCTTTATCTGTTTTCACATTATGCTGCATAATATGTGTGAATCATGTCCTTATTTGTCTTTCCTGTCGAATGTAGTATAAACATGTTGCTTGTTCTAGCCTTCTAGACCCGTTTACTTGAACATTATAACCTTTTTTTCACTTTTCAAAATAGTGGTGCATCCAACATGCTGTAAAAATTCACCTTACCATTCAGCTGTATGATTGTCGTTTCTGAGGTGTGCCCATTTTCAGGTTTACAAACAATGTCCTTAGCACTGCACAGCAAGTGTGGTTACGCAAATTAGGTGGAGCAAAGCCTGTTGTTGATGAGAGCGCAAGTGGAATTATTACTGCCGGACGTGCAAAACGGTCAGCTGATCAAACGGCACGGCGTGGGGATAAGTTAGTGAGAGGCTTTTTAAATGATGTACATGGTTTTGTTTATGCTTTAAATTTAGCATGCTGAAAAATAAACGGAAATTAACAGGTTCAGGCAGTTAAAAGATGAAGAGAAGAAGAAGAAAGTAGGCACGGCGTTGATAGCAGAAGAAGTTCAGGCTCTAGATTCAAAATCTGATTCTGATGGGGAGTCAGATGATGAGACAAAGGGCAAGGTAAATTTCTAGTTTCAGTAACTGCAGGCTGCTTTGTATCATTTTAAGGTCTCTCTAAGAATTTCTCATAGATTTAGTTCTATCCATAAACAAAGGGGTATGGAGCCCAATTCATAGTTGATGATGGAGGAATATTACTACTTTCTTGAACTTGCACATCTTTTTTTCTCTCTTTTCAGAAGATAATGATGGCATGTTTAGACTGACAGCTGTCGAACAGAGTTATCTTACGGGACCACTTGCAAGGTTTTAACTTTCCTTGCAAGTTGAATTGTCTGTAGTCATTAGTGACAATGGTACTACTTTTAACTTTCATGTATGGATCTTCTAAAACTGTCACATAGGGAAGCAAAAATGACCTTGAAAGCGAGTCATCTTTAGACAGAGATGAAGTTAATCTGTGACTGCATGTTTATGGAAGCATGATTATGCACACAACGTTTTGACTTTATGGTATCTGTAAGTGGGTTCCACTGCTGCAAAATCCATTACTGATTGAAGTGTGTAATAAAACCTAACATTTTCTTTTGTAAGTTAGTGCAAGCATGGTATGCTAATTAACATGGGGAGGGTTAATTAGTAACATGAAGGGTCTTTAAACACAATCACACATGTCTCATCTATATGCATAACTGAATCTATTGGAGATGACTGTGGTTAACTATAAAACAGCACCGGCCATTCTCTTGTTCTAGAAGTATGAATATATGTAAAATCACATTACCTATTTCAGTAGTAACAACCTATACAGGTATAAGAGGTTTGGCTTTTCTATGTTGGTAAAGATAGACTTTATTTTAGGCTTTTAGGTTGAAGGATGGTAATTTGATGTGTTGGTCTGATGCTTTTCTAACATTTTACCATTTGATGTGTTGAGCTCGAGGGGTAGACTTATTTTGGAGAGCGATAGCAGTAAAGCGGTAGACTGGATCAAGCGTCCGAGTTCTTGTCCTATGTTATTTAGTTCGCTTGTGAAGGAAATTGGATCTTTGGTAGTAGATAGGAATGTTATTGTAAAACATGTTAGTAGAGTCGTGAACTGTAAAGCAGATGAATTAGCTAAGATAGGAATCGGATGAACTTGTGTTTGTTGGTTCTTCTAGGTTGTTTTGTCCGCTGTTAGGTGCTATTATTGTAATGGTTTTATTTTATTGTTTGTTTCGTTGGTAATAAAATTTTGAGACACTCTTTTCCTCCTTCCAATGTCCTTCGAGATACCTTAGCGTTCTTGATGGTTATGAAGGGAGGTTTTAACGAGACCTCCCTTTCTTATCAAAAAATAAAAAAAAGTTGTTCCAACTACAGTTGGTGGATTAGTGCAAATCTGGAACTTTACCACAATCGTAAAACCAATTACTAATTTCATGTTTCTAACAGGGTGATGAGACTCTTGCAGTATATGCTTCCAATGATAGCAAACAAGTTCCTAATATTTCTCAGCCACGACGAAGCAAGAGATCTAAGCGGAAGCGTGCTGTATAAGAAGATTGTACACTGAATGCTTATGGTGAGTCTTTTATATCTAAAGGAATTGTATTATTTTTATTGTAGTGGCAATTTTGATGTTGTCTCATTCAAGATATATTGCAAAATCATGAAGACCAGTCTTATTAAAAAACACCACAACCATGCTCCAAAAGGCTCATATTTTTTGTATTTCAGTCACTATGCAGGTCGAGAAATTTTGATTCAACTGTGCAACTACTAAGCTGGCATTTTTATCTTTTGGTATGTTGAGCTTGCTAAGCATTTCAAGCCTCATTCCTGGAAACATTTGTGATAGGGATCTTGCTGTGCTAGTAGTTGCACCCTCATCGCTTTCTTTTATGTGATCTAAACCTAGGGGTATTATTTTCTCACTCATGAAGAATTGTCAATTCTTTGTTTAAAACTGTTTCAGTTCCTTTCACGTGTGAAAGATGACTGTTTCTTTCTGCAAACATGCGATAGTCTAGTATGAATTTATTGTGTAGAAGCATTATAAAGCAGAATATCGTAATTAGGACATGGGATTACCTTCTGACTGAAGAAAACCGAACATACCATTACACACCAAACTAACCTTTACTAGGGGTCAGAGCCAGAGCTAACTCATTTAGAACTTTTAGTACATGCTAGAAGCATATAATAGTACATCAATACTTGCTTTCGCATATGGATTTTTACAAGTAAAATCCTTGTCCTACACAGAGACATCTCACCTCCAATACAATTTGTGTCGCCTTACCCTATCTTCCACATTGGCTGTTGCATCCATTGTTTTAATGCTTTGATGGTGGCTGGTGATTTTCTAATGGGTTCGGTCCGGATGGGGATTTACGAATCTTCTTCATTTCAACCTGTTTTTCATCGCAGCGAGGATTTTCTTTTTAGCTAATGGATTTAGTTATACTAGCTAGATAAATATAACAGTTTTAAGCTGAAAGAGATTACACAGCTCTTACCCAAGTAGGTAATGCATTTCTAGCACGTGGTCTCGACATTAGGCTTCGAGGTCTGAACTTGAAGTGAACTGTTGGCACTATAGGAAAAAAAACATTAATGCATTACAATTTAGAAGCTACAAAAGTTTGTAAATGTGCTTGATGAATGTAGATTAGAACTTGGCCTCTCATCTTTATGTAGGCGGTGCAATATTTTTGCGTGCTTTAGTGTATTTATAGGGTGGTGTTTTGTGTGTTTTTTTAGGGGGGCGGGGGGCTCTTACAAGAATGGAGTTGCATTTTATTGATGCATTTTCTTTAATCATAACCAAACTTGAAAATAGATGTATGAATGTTTGTTAAAGGTGCAGGGTGATCCTATGGAATTATGTACAAGATTGTTAAGATTTAAAAATTCTGTGTTTCTAGTGATTGTGGGTTGACTTCCTCTAATCTATCATTGCATCCATGATATTAGCACTTGTTGAGTGCTTTGTATCATGGTTTTCAGAACCGGACCGGTTAACGAATCGGTCATGCTACCGGTTTACTGGTTCAACCGGTCGAATCGGTCCGACCGGTCGGAAGAACCGGACGACGTCATAATTATTTAAAAAATTAAATAAAAATACCAAAAATATTTAATAAAAATAATTTTTTATATCACAAGTCATATTCAAAGCAATTCATAACATATATAAGTTAAAAACCATAAAATCAGGTGAAACAAAATGATTCAAATTAACTACAACATAATATTTAAGGTAAAACATATTAAATAATAAATATAATTATATAACTATAATTAAAAAATAAATTTGGGGTTAAAAAATCATAACAAAATGATATTGTTTGGTTTATTTATTTTTTTTAAAACAATCTCACATAGATAAGAAACATAGAAGAGCATCCCAAAAGTCAAAGAGTAAAAATATGAGAACAAAAGAATCCCACATGACTAAGAAACATAGAAGAGTATCCCAACTAACTTCTATAAATAATAGAGATAATTTGACATTCAAAATCAAGGAGTCTTTTGGTGAGCATTGAGTGAATTATTCTTTCACTTCAATCAAACTCGAATTTTAGGCTTCAATTGAACTTCTAAATTTTTTATGAGTTCAAGCATTTTCGAGTTCAAGTTTTAATATTATATTTCTAGTTCGAGTTGAACTTGATAATTTTTAGCTCGTGAGTTTGAGTCGAGTTGAGCTTACTTTTAAAGTTTTCAAGTTTGAGTCGAGTTCAGCAATATTCGAGTTCGACTTGGCTCGTTTAACAAACGATGTTGTTTGGTTTAATTAAAAAAAAAATTCAGTTTTTTCGGTTTTTAGTCGGTCCGGTTCGAACGGTTCAGTAGTTCCGGCCGGTTCACTAATAGTGGTTCAATCGGTGTAGATTGAACCGGATTAGACAGTGATTCCCGATTGAACCGGGCCGGTCCGATTTTCAAAACACTGCTTTGTATCTTGCTGTCGGCATTGAGTGTTGGGACCCGCCACCGAATATTTAGCTCCTGAATTGTTTTTATTGTTTCAAAACCAAGTTACTGTGTGTTGATACTTTGCAAATTTACTCCCGCCATTGCATGCTGATTTTTTTTAAAGACTTGGTTTAGTAGGTAAGCTAAAGCAACATTTTGTTATTTGATTCATGTACGTAGTTCTGTAACGAGGAAATTAGGCCTGGTGAAGTCACTGTCTTCAATCTTTCTTGTATTTATTTGTTGTATAAATTACAAATGTTCTTGGATTCTGTTCCTACCAAAGTTGTCGGGATCACATATCGTTGTTAATAAGTTAAAAATTGTGATTGAATTTCATTGACACTAGTTTAGGGATGAAATGTTACGTACAGACAACTCCAGTATCTACTAAATGCCTTAGGTAGGGCGCTTGTGGTTGGCAGTTCGGCGTTAAAGGAGGCGCATCTACTGACGCATGCATTCTATCATGAAGAGTCATCATGATTCCATTTTGAGCACATAAGACTAAAAGCGGTATCCATACAAGATTTTATGCTAGAAGTCCATCTTATAAAATTTTAAGAGATAAAATGGATTATTAATAAGTAATATTTAAATTATAAGATAATTTAAAATTTTTAAGGAAACAACTATTCGTGTCAATCCCTCTATTCATACCTATCATAAGGGGTCTAAATTAGTTTAAGTCATTCAATTTATTCAGTTTTTCTTTTTTTGACGTCTAACAAGATGGAGTTCAGAATAATATATCCAAAACCTATTTTCATTATTTGCAGAATGGTAACAAGAAATGAAAAGGTTGAGATGTGCTACTTGGAGTCTAAATTAATCAATTCATTCAATTTTTATTCAGTTTTTCTTAATTGACATTTAATAAGATTGAGGTCCGAATTTTATATCCAAAACCATTTTTCATTATTTGAAGAAGAAACTTAAATAATGGAAGTGATAAGGGAGAAAGCTATAGAATGTAACATTATGGGAATGAAAAGCTGGCAACTGATAAGAGATTTCCAATCACTAACTTATAAAGATTGTTCTACAAAATAGAAACACACACACAACGCTTTAATGCAAATTTCTTTTCGGTACCCCCCTCTCTAATTTTAACAATTAAATTTAGTGTGCAGGGTTTGGGCCTTTGGCCTTATGGACAAAATATATTACGGCCACGCAATTCCTGACTAGATGGTTAAATACTAAAAGAAGTCCTTGGTTTCACCATATTATTTAAGTAACCCCAGTATTTCTCTTATGCTTAAAGAAAATCTTAACCTCTGGGTTTTACCTAAGTAAGCCCTTATTTCAAGTTTAAGGTTTAAGAGATTATTTGAGTATAATGAAGAAGTTTACATACTTCTATGGGTAGAAGCTAAAGATGAGTGTTTATTAGAATACAAAATGTTGAAAGAAGCTGATCGCATCATAGTTTTGGGATTTTTAATAATCAAACGAGGTTTTTAATAATAAAATAATCCAATCATAAACCAACAACTAGTTGCTCTAGTGAGATGATGCTCTAAATCCCTTAAGTAAGATTAAGGGTTCGAATCTTGTCCATTATGAATGGAATAAACTAGGTTGAGAGGATCGTCCTTGCCTTTACAATATCCGGTCTATATTAATTGATCGATAAATCGGATACACATTGTTAATAAAAAAAATCAAATCATAGTTTTGGAATTTTCGGCTTTTGCTCGAGAGTTATCGGTATCTTTCTTTTCCTTTGGAGTGATTGTGTTTTGACATCTGTTTTCATTGTGAAAAGTGGCTTAGAACTTGCACATAAAAACGTGACCGTCAAACAGGACAGGAGAAATGATTTATTTTTATTTTTTTGCAAATAAACCGACAAGAATCTCCTACACAAAGTTAATTGCGTGACATCTTTCCTCCTTATCTTTTTCCTATTGCAAATGGAAAAGCTTCTTCTTTTTGGTTTATTATAAGTCTATAACTGATATGTTTAAGAACAAATATTTATGCATAATTAACATAAAGATTTTGAAGTTAATTTCATCATAAGTTCTAAGATAAAAAAATTCATTATTAAAAAAGTTAAATATTTCAGTTAATTTTTTGTTAATATATATTTTAAGGTTTAATTATTAAAACTTAATTTAAGTTTGATATAAAACTTATTTATAATAAGTGTTTATAATTTTTTATTCAGCACATGGACAAAATATATTTATCATGTTAAATAACAATGTCATTAAAATTCAATAATTATATATTTTTAATTCATCGCATTTAAATTAATTATCAATGTAATAGATAAATTTGAAACTCAAATATCATATATTTTATTTTTGGGTCAATTACGTGTTTAGTATCTAAATTATCAATTTTGGTCCGTTTTAATACCTAAACTTTTAATTTTTTTTCAAAACCATACCTAGTTTTTGTTTTATTTTATTACATCACCTTTAAACACTTAACTTTTTAAAGGTAAATTACATCATTCATCACTCAACTATCTTCTCACTCTCATTTTTGTACTAAAGATAAAAAAAATCAATTTACCTTCTCAACTTTCAAATTACTCCTATTTTAATCACTCTAATTTATTTTATTAATAATTTTGTGACATGACATTTAATTATTAGTTTAGTAATATATAATTAAAAATAAAAAATTAAATTTAAAAGTTATGGTGATTAAATTATGAATAATTTAAAAGTTAAGTAATTAAATTAAAAAATCTAAATTTTAGTGACCAAAATAAGAGTGAAAAGATAATTGAGTGAGGAATGATGCAATTTAGTCATAAAAAGGTTCCACATGCAAATCTCATCCGTTAAGTTTTCAACGACGAGATATTAAAATAAAATAAAAATTAAACGTTAATTATAATTTTAAAAAAATTAAAAGTTTAGATACTAAAATTATCAAAACTGATAGTTTAGTTACTAATTACATACTTTACCCTTTATTTTTCTTGAAGATGCAGGTAAAAGGTGATGATGTGTAAAGAAATATCTAAAATATTAATTTTCTTAAAGTGGCCCTTTTTTCTTGAAAATTAAGTAACAAGATAACGATGAACATTTTTGTCCCAAAAATGTGTAAAATTATTTTTATATAATTTTGTAAATAATAATTATTGATAAAATGATAAAAATTATATATAGTGTATGATATCTAGAAATATTACATTTAATTATTTTTAAGATTAAAAATATAAAAAATAAAGCATAATAATAATTTTAATTTAAAATAAAATTGTTTAATAATTTTTAATTGAATTGATACACGATAAATTCATGATATTAAAATTGTAATTATAAATATAAATAAATATTTACATTTGATAATATCTATTAAAATAATTTCATTCTCAACAAACTGGAGTACTATGGTCCTCAGAATTTGAAGAATTTATTTGTTTGATCCTAAATAGTATATATAACGAAAATAACGAATACTATCGCCTAAAACAATTATAATAAAACTAACGGGTGGTTTAAGTGGTAAACAACTCGATATGACTTTAGTAATGTTTTAGGTTCGAGTATTTGTATATGCAGAAAATCTTCATTAGGAGACTCACCCACTAAAACCAGGTGTACAACTCGGGTTAGTCTAAATTAATCAAGACAAAGTCTTGAAACTAAATGACGAAAAAAACAAGCATAATAAA